AATATATTCATGTCACGTTTAAGAAAAGTTTTGTAAATGAGTTCCAAAACTTTGTGGATTAGGGACCCAATCTTATGGGGTTCCAGGGGCTTCTGTAGAGATTATTTAGGTTAATTTTTCTATCTACCCAATGGGAGTCAGTGCTCAGTCTAGAAAATACCACCAGAGATGCTTAGTTTTGCAGTTCTCAAACTGTGGATTTGTGTCTCCAGAGATAAGATACTTGTTAACAGCAAAAATTCTTTTAAATAAATAAATAAATATATAGAGGTGAGAAATTGTTAAATAAAACAATTGAAATGTCTGTCTGGTGATGTTCTCCTCCTAATACAGCCTGGCAAGAAAGTCCTCCAAATATTAAAGATTAACCTTTTGAATTGGAGATAGTTCACCTCCCAATGACTTCCTCAATATCTGCTTCAATTATCTTTGGTAAATGAAATAACCAAACAATCATTTTCTGATATAGCTGTAAAACTCATCTGAAAAGTTTTCAAAATAAAACATCAAAATTAAAAGTGTGTAGTGTGTCCCTTCTAAAAATGAAACCTACATCTATCTCTGAGTTGTGAAGAATATGTACTGAGGTTATAACAACCAACAAGAAGGCACTTTTATGTAGAAATCCATGATTAAATCGAGTCTTTCTGACTAGTGATTTAAATCAAATCCACCCTGGATATTAGCAACGTTTTTGAGCAGGGAGAGGTACCGTGCAGGCCCACAGGCCCCCCTTCCCCATTGAAAGCCCCAGCTGCAGGCAGATTTGTAGGGCTGCAAAGGAAGGAAGCCCTGGGACATGTCAAGCCCAGGCCCCTAAGCTGCAGCCAGGGTTTTCCAAGGAGAGCAGGATGCTGGGAGTTCATGGGGCTGCACGGAACCCCTCCCTGGACCTACCCTGGATCCTGCTTCCCGTGGCCCTGGCTGCAGGCAGGTTTGTAGGGCTGCAGCCAGGGAAGCAAGCCCTGGGACATGCCAAGCCCAAGAGGCCAGGTGCCAGGGCAGGACACAACCCAGAGAAAACAAGAAGAGGTACCATGCAGTCCCACATTCCCCAGTACTCCGTCCCCAGTATCCAGGCTGCAGGGCCCCCTCCCTGCTGCCCGACCCACTGGCCTCCCCTCCCACGCCGCAGGGGCGGACTCCTGTGTTACCTCCTGTGCAGGTGGCGGGCCCCTTGCCACCCCAATCTGCTGTCCCAGGCATGGGCCTTTCACTCCTCAGCAACTTCCGGCTAACACACTTCCCGGGGAACAGAGAGTTTGAGACTAACCGGCACCCACCGTACGTCACAGAAACAAGGGGATTTCGACGCAGTTTCCCAAACAGGAAAAAGTCAAAACCGTTGTATATGAAAGTGAAAGGGCTCAAAAGCGGGTTTGACTGCTCCCAAGAGGAAATATTTTGGAATTTCCATCGTGTGGGAACATTTTTTTTTGTTCCGACTCCAAAGGTTTTTTTTTTGTTCCAAATATCACAACATCCCCAGGCGTGGCCATTCCGGTTCCCAACCTGTGCAACATATGGGGGGCTACTGCCACGTACAGAGGCCACCTTAAGTCTCCCAGCCTCAATCAGTCCAACGCACTCTGGATGTAAGTACAACCCCTATCAGATCAGCAACTGTGACGAAGCAGGACTGTTCTTAACGTTTCCTCTAAATAGTGTGGGGGTGCCTCAGTTTCCCCTAGGCAGTTCTTAAGTATCTAGGGGGTGGGATAAGGGTGTATGATCGTTGCAGAGCCCTAGAGGGCAGGTATGTGCAGGGGTCTGGACACAGAGAATAGCCCACACCCTGTTTCCTGGCAACTGATGGCCTGGGCCCTTCCCCCCCTGCAAGGTGAGAGCTAAAGGGTTGGAGAACAAAGGAATCAGGTGACCTCCTGGCCCGGGAAAGGGAAAAAGCCCAGAGGAGGAGGGGCTGGAGGAGAGTTTCAGTTTGGGGCTGGCTGGGGACATGGAGTGAAGTGCAGACATGGTTGTCTGGCTCACTGCCCCCAAAATGGACCCAGCTGAGGGGTCCTGTTCTCTGGACCTACAAGCTCTGTTTTAGACCATGTCCCTGTCGTCTAATAAACCTCTGTTTTACCGGCTGGCTAAGAGTTATGTCTGACTGCGGAGTTGGGGGGCAAGACCCTCTGGCTTCCCCCGGAACCCGCCTGGGTGGACTCGCTGTGGGAAGCGCAGGGAGGGGCAGAGGATGCTGAATGCCCCGAGGTCAGACCCAGGAAGGTGGAAGCAGTGTGAGCTGTGTGTCCTGAAGACAGGCTGCTCCCCGAGAGGAGACTTCCCCAGAGTCCTGACTGGCTTCGTAGGGAGCAGTTCCAGAGCATCGCCCAGGGACTCCGTGACAGCAACGGCCTTGAGCCACTTGTGCCACCGGCCTGAATTTAAAAATTGACCACGCAAATTAAATTGCCCGTGGATTCAAGGTCACTTCTAACCGGGGTGGGGAAATCAGGAGAGGCAAAGCTGAGTGTTGTTGGAGAAGCAGAGAGCATGGGTTGCATCTTGCACCACGAGTGTAGGTAGCATCTGTGCCATCCTTTGAGCACCAGGAAGGATGTGTTAAAATGCAGCCTCAATGCTCAGCAGGAAAAGCTAGAGGGACCGGAGGTCACAACCCAGACAGTCACGAAGTAGGGCAGGGGGCGTGTGACGGAAGGCGCCCCGGTATGTCACAGAGTGGAAGCCGCTTTCTTGACTTTGCTCATGTCTTTCACGCTAAGTCAGCAGAGTTTCTGCACAAGTCAGGGCAGAGCCTGACCTCACCTGCCACATGACCAGACACCCATCAACCCCGCCAGCTGACCACCACACTGACTCAGCTCTGCATTTCGCAAGAGGCATACAAAACGACTAATCAGAGGTTTCTGTTGAGACGCTTGCCAAGGCAGGGGCTCAGGAGATGTGGGGTCGCTTCCTGGGCCACCTTGGGCAAGTTGCTTTAATTTCCCCGTGACTCAGTTTCCGCATCTGCGATTTCATTCATTGCAGCAAAGCGCTCGGATACAACAAAGACGGGGTAGACAACGCTCCCTACTCGCCTGAGGGCGCAAGAAGCCGGGAGATCAGAGCTGGCTTCCTATCCCTCTCCCCATGCAGGCTTTGCAGGAAGGGAAGTGGGCAAATCCCCACTCTCAGCTCTTTCACTGGCTGCAGGGGGAAAGGAAGCCCCATTTCTAACCAACTGCATGTCCTTGGCTTTATAGCACTGCAACCTTTGCAAGGCCTAGAAACCAGAAGCAACTTAACAGCGAGTTTACACACAGCCCCACGGCAGGAATTAGCTCCAGCTTGGTGAAGAGTCAAGTCCCATAGGCGGGACCAGCCCATGGACAGATGCGTAAGTTGTAGCTGTCGGGCCGAACAGGTGCAGCTGTGTGGGCCGGGCTAGGAGATCTCAGTGCATACCTAATTGGCAGTGGCCTGGCATTTTGGGGGCAGGCAGAGAAATGGGTAGAAGAAATCTCCCCTCCCCATATGGTGCAGCGCTGCCCAGCAAGGGATATTATGACTTCCCTTGCAGAGCGGGGCATTGCCACCCTCAGAGGAGGGACTGTTCCGTTTCCGGGCGCTATTCCTCACGCTGAGCCACCTTATGAAAGGAGAACCCCAACCCAGACAGGATTCGACCTCGGCAACAGGTTAACTCACTTTGCTGTGCCTGGCGGGGGGCTGTTCCTGGCTGACCTTCAGAGCATTAGCTCCGCATCAAAGGCCCGTGGCTACGTGCCCCTTCGGAGCAAGTTACTCCAGGGCCAGAGCCGGGCTCCCCGCCGAGAGCCTTCTGGAGGTGGAGCCGAAAGGGACACACACATGCCAGTGGGTTAAGCGCCGGCCACACACGGCGCAGCAGGTGGAGAACTGAGGCACGGAACGGGCTGTGTCCACACGCACAGCAGCAGGACCTTAACCCCACCGGGGTAGTGACAGGGTCACAACCCCCCCTCAACATGGAGCAAAGGGCCCATCCCACCGCAGCTCCCCCCTATGGGAAGGGAGGGCCATTCCCCCAGCTCCCCCAACCCTGGTCCCAGGAGAAATAGGGTCCCTTCAACACCCAGCCTCCCCCCATTTACTGAGGGCTGGAGGGAGACTGAGGGCCCCACCAGGGGAGCCCCGATCACCCAGATCAGAGCCTATCTCCTACCCTCCCCACCAGACAGACCAGGGGGGAGCCCACAGAAAACACCCCCTATCTCTTTGCACCCCGCGTTGCTCCCCGGGACCAGGCCCCCCCCGCCAGCAGCGCCCCCCGCGTTGCTCCCCGGAACCCGGGGGCAGGGCCCCCCCCCCCGCCAGCAGCGCCCCCCGCGTTGCACCCCGGGAACCGGGGGCAGGGCCCCCCCCGCCAGCAGCGCTCCCCGCGTTGCTCCCCGGGACCCGGGGGCAGGGCCCCCCCCCGCCAGCAGCGCCCCCCGCGTTGCTCCCCGGGACCCGGGGGCAGGGCCCCCCCTCCAGCAGCGCCCCCCGCGTTGCTCCCCGGGACCCGGGGCCCAGGCCCCCCCCGCCAGCAGCGCCCCCCGCGTTGCTCCCCGGGGCCCAGGCCCCCCCCGCCAGCAGCGCCCCCGCGTTGCTCCCCGGGACCCGGGGGCAGGGCCCCCCCCTCCTGCAGCGCCCCCCGCGTTGCTCCCCGGGACCCGGGGGCAGGGCCCCCCCCGCCAGCAGCGCCCCGCGCGTTGCTCCCCGGGACCCGGGGGCAGGGCCCCCCCCGCCAGCAGCGCCCCCCGCGTTGCTCCCCGGGACCCGGGGGCAGGGCCCCCCGCCAGCAGCGCCCCGCGCGTTGCTCCCCGGGACCCGGGGGCAGGGCCCCCCCCGCCAGCAGCGCCCCCCGCGTTGCTCCCCGGGACCCGGGGGCAGGGCCCCCCCCGCCAGCAGCGCCCCCCGCGTTGCTCCCCGGGACCCGGGCCCCCCCCGCCAGCAGCGCCCCCCGCATTGCTCCCCGGGACCCGGGGGCAGGGCCCCCCAAGCTACGCTCCCGCTCCGCGGCGACTCACTTGGCCGAGAGGGTGTTGATGGAGCCGGTGGCCAGCATCAGCCCGGCCAGGAAGAGCTGGTACCGGGTCCAGGCCATGCTGCGGGGCCGGGCTCGCTCCCCCCGCCGCCCGGGCCCGCCGCGGCAGCTCCAGGGGCGGAGCGAGCCCCGGGCGGGGGAAGAGGAGTCGGGGGAGGGGAGGTCACATGACCGCAGTCAGCTGCGAGAACCAGCCCAGGCCCCCTTTTGCAACCTGACCCCCCCACCCGTGGGGGGGGGGGGCGATCCTCGCCCGGCCCCACCGAGCAGCGGGGCTGGGGCCAGGGGCTGCCCGGCCGCAAGCCCTGGGATGGACTGGAGCAGGCTCGGGCCCCCCCGGCTGCTCCCCGTGGGGCAGGGCAGCAGGCAGAGCTTGGGGGGCTCTGAGCCAGGGAGCCGTGCCCCATGGCCGGGGGGCGCAAACCTGCCAGGGCTCAGGTGGAAGGGGTGGGGGGTTGGCAGGCAAGGCTGTGCCAAGGAGAGACGGAGCCAAGGCAAGGTCCAGGAAACAGGCCTCGCCTTGCCGGGCGTCTACAAGGTGGTGGGACCCGCCCTGGCTGCGTTTTCTGGCGGCTTCCTGGCAAGGGGTGACAGTAACTTCTGTGCAGATGGTTGTTGACCCAACAGAGCAAATCTCACCCCGTCACGGCTCTACCCAGCCCAGTAACGTGGATAGATTCCGAGGCCAGACCACTGTGATCATGTAGCCTGACCCCCTGGGTAACCCAGGCCAGAGACCTGCCCCACAATAATCCCTAGAGCAGCTGATCTTTTAGAAAAACAGCTGGTCTTGATTCTAAAAATTGCCAGTGATGGAGACTCCACCAGGCCCTGGGGTAAATTGTTCCAATGGTTAATTACTCTCACTCTGACAAATGTACGCCTTACAGTGTTTCCCTCTGAATTTGTCCATCTGCAGCCATTGGATCGTGTTAGATCTTTCTCCGCTAGATTGAAGAGCCCTTTCTTAACACAAATATTTGTTCCCCATGTAGGTAAATAGAGACTGTTAGCGAGTCATGCTGTAACCTCTTTGTTAAGCTAAATAGATTGAGCTCCTTGATGCTGTCATTACAAGGCAGGTTTTCCAGTCCTTTAATCATTCTCAGGGCTGTTCTCTGAACTGTCTCCAATTAATAAACCTCCTTCTTGAACTGTGGACACCCAGAACTGGACACAGGATTCCAGCAGCGGTCGCCCCAGTCCCAAACCCAGAGACAAAATGACCTCTCTGTTCAAGATCCCCTGTTTATGCATTAGCTCTTTTGCACTGGAAACTCATGTTTAGCTGATTATCCATGACCCCCCAAATCTTTTTCAGTCCCTGCTTCCCAGGATTGAGTCCCCCATCCTGTAAGTGCAGCGTGCACTCTTTGTTCCCAGACGTACATGTTTACATTTAGCAGCTTACTAAGTGATCCAGATCTCTCTGTATCAGTGACCTGTCCTCTTAAGTATTTACCACTCTCGCAATCTTTGTGTCATCTGCAGACTTTACAGTGATGATTTCATGTTTTCTTTCCGTTCATTGATAAAAATGCTAAATATAGGGCCAAGAACTGATCCCTGTGGGACCCCTCTAGAAACACACCCACTCAGTGATGATTGCCTATTTACAATTATATTTTGACACCTATCACTTAGCCAGTTTTAATCCATGTAATGTGTGCCATGTTAATTTGGTATCATTCTAGTTTTATAATCAAAATGTGATGTGGTACCAAGTCAAATGCCTTACAGAAGTCCAAGTATATTACATCAGCCTTATTACCCTTATCAATTCAACTTGTAATCTCATAAAAAAGATCTCACATTAGTTTGACAGGATCTATTTCCATAAACCCATATTGATTGTCATTAATTACATCCTCCTCCTTTAATTCTTTAGCAACTGAGTTCCATACCCGTTGGTCCATTGTCTTGCCTGGGATCCGTGTCAGGCTGACATGCCTATAACTACCTCAGGCATCCTATTTACCCTTGTAAAATAGTGGCACAATGCTAGCTTTCTCGCAGTCTTCTGGCACTTTCCCAATGTTCCAGGACTCATTGAATATCAGCAGTCATGGCCTAGCAAGCTCAACAGCCAGCTCTTTGAAAACTCTTGAAAGCAATTTATCTGGACCATATCTTCCAGAAAGGCATTCAGTCTTGATATGAAGACATCAGACTTCCTTTGTTTGTTCCAGGGACCATCACAGTCCTGTAACCTGGCTGCCATCTTTGGCTCAGACCTCTCTGTAGGCCCTCACATCCAGACTAACTCTAAATCTTGCTGGTTTTTTTCTGCATCACATCTCTACGGTTTGGCCTTTCCTATCCATGCCCACAGCTGCACTTTTCATCCCAGCTCATCCTCTGGCACCTTGGTTGCTGCAACAGCCTCCTCTCTGGTCTTGACAGACGCAAACTTGCCCTGCTCTGGTCCATTCAGAATACTGCTGCCAAAATCATTTCCCCGGCCCATCGCTTTGCAGCCCTCCATTGGCTCCCCTTTCTCTAGCATACCTTCCTGGCCAATCCTCACCTACCTCTCATCTCATTCACTACTGAGATATTGACTACCAGCTAGGTTCAGAAAAGGGCCACACAAATGTTGAGGGGGATGGAACAGCTTCCACCTGAGGAGAGATTAATAAGACTGGGACTTTTCAGCTTGGAAAAGAGACGACTAAGATGGGATGATTGAGGTCTATAAAATCATGAGTGGTGTGGAGAAAGTGAATAGGGAAGTGTTATTTACTCCTTCTCATAACACAAGAACTAGAGGTCACCCAATGAAATGAATAGGCAGCAGGTTGAAAACAAACAAAAGGAAGAATTTCTTCACGCAACGCACAGTCAACCTGTGGAACTCCTTGCCTGGTGATGCTGTGAAAGCCAAGACTATAACAGAGTTAAAAAAAAGAACTAGATAAGTTCATGGAGGATAGGACCATCAATGGCTATTAACCAGAATGGGCAGGGATGCAACCCCATGCTCTGAGTGTCCTGAGCCTCTGTTCGCCTGAAGCTGGGACTGGACGACAGGGGATGGATCACTTGATGACTGTCTGTTCTGTTAATTCCCTCTGAAGCACCTGGCATTGGCCGCTGTTGGAAGACAGGATACTGAGCTGGATGGACCACTGGCATGGCCGTTCTTATGCTCTTACCTCCGATTCGCCCATGATGCCAAGGTCCACCACCCACTTGTTCAGTTTTCATATAAGCACCTTTGTGTGCTCCCCCTGCCGCTCCTCGCCTTTGGGACAAGTTCGTCACAAACACCCACAAAACGACCTCATTATCCTCCTCCACTGCAAAACTCTGCTGGGCTGTGATGCCTGCAGAAAACTTCATGACAGGGTGCTGCTGGGCCCAGACCACTGCCTGTCGTGGGATCGATAGTGTCTCATCGCTTCCTTGTACTCCTCCATCTGTCTGTCTCCACCTGATGCCTCTTGTCTTATACTTCCACTGCCAGCTCTCTGGGGCCAGGGACTGTCTTTTCGTCCTGTGCTTGTGCAGTGCCGAACACACTGGGGTCCTAATCTGCCACTAGAGCTCCAAGACACCGTACGGACGAGGCCTTTGCCTGTGGCCATGTTGTAAGGCCTAAGGCCTTTGCCTGTAGCCATATGAGGAAAGCAGCAGCCATTAGGCAAGAAGCAGAAAGTCACATCCTCATATTCCATCTAAATTACATTAAAACAATGTAATATCGGGCCGTGACGGAGACACTCCTGTCCTAATAGCACCCACCACCACCAGATAAAGAAACAGATCATAGAATCATAGAATCATAGAATATAAGGGTTGGAAGGGACCCCAGAAGGTCATCTAGTCCAACCCCCCTGCTCGAAGCAGGACCAATTCCCAGTTAAATCATCCCAGCCAGGGCTTTGTCAAGCCTGACCTTAAAAACCTCTAAGGAAGGAGATTCTACCACCTCCCTAGGTAACGCATTCCAGTGTTTCACCACCCTCTTAGTGAAAAAGTTTTTCCTAATATCCAATCTAAACCTCCCCCACTGCAACTTGAGACAACTCCTCGTTCTGTCATCTGATACCATTGAGAACAGTCTAGAGCCATCCTCTTTGGAACCCCCTTTCAGGTAGTTGAAAGCAGCTATCAAATCCCCCCTCATTCTTCTCTTCTGCAGGCTAAACAATCCCAGCTCCCTCAGCCTCTCCTCATAACTCATGTGTTCCAGACCCCTAATCATTTTTGTTGCCCTTCGCTGGACTCTCTCCAATTTATCCACTTCCTTCTTGAAGTGTGGGGCCCAAAACTGGACACAATACTCCAGATGAGGCCTCACCAATGTCGAATAGAGGGGAACGATCACGTCCCTCGATCTGCTCGCTATGCCCCTACTTATACATCCCAAAATGCCATTGGCCTTCTTGGCAACAAGGGCACGCTGCTGACTCATATCCAGCTTCTCGTCCACTGTCACCCCTAGGTCCTTTTCCGCAGAACTGCTGCCTAGCCATTCGGTCCCTAGTCTGTAGCTGTGCATTGGGTTCTTCCGTCCTAAGTGCAGGACCCTGCACTTATCCTTATTGAACCTCATCATCCGATCTTAAGATGGTTAAAGAAAACGTAGTTTGCTAGCATCCTGTCCGGCAAGGAATCACTTATCAATAGTTGTGGCACCTTAGAGACTAACCAATTTATTTGAGCATAAGCTTTCGTGAGCTACAGCTCACTTCATCCGATGCACACGAAAGCTGATGCTCAAATAAATTGGTTAGTCTCTAAGGTGCCACAAGTCCTCCTTTTCTTTTTGCGAATACAGAGTAACACGGCTGTTACTCTGAAACTTATCAATAGTTTTGCTTGTGAAATCCTCATTTCTTTATTGTTCTGTCTTTATGGTCCCGACTTCTCTATTGTTTATCTGTATGGTCTCTGTCTGGTTCTTTGATTGTTTCGGTCTGTTACATAATTAATTTTGCTAAGTGTACATTAATTAAGGTGGTGAGGTAGGACTGGTTAAAGAATAGGATTGATTAGAGAATTGTTTACTAATATTTTAGCAAAAAGATTAGTTAAGGTACAGCTAAGCAGGAGTCAAGTTTCACTATATAAACTGGGGTCCAAAAGGAAGTTCTTGGGAACCAGCTCCAGGACACAGCCCCAAGATCAGAGCTGCCA